CACATAAATGTCTTCTTTTGAAAAGTGTCTGTTCATATCCTGTGCCCACTTTTTGATGGGGTTGTTTGGTTTTTCTTGTGAATTTGTTTTAGTTCTTTGTAGATTCTGGATATTGGCCCTTTGTCAAATGGGTAGCTTGCAAATTTTTTTTCCCATTCTGTTGGCTGCCAGCTAACTCTAGTCATTGTTTCTTTTGCTGTGCAGAAGCTCTTAAGTTTAATTAGATCCCATTTGTCTATTTTGGCTTTTGTTGTCATTGCTTTTGATGTTTTAGTATAAAGTCCTTGCCTATGCCTACGTCCTGAATGGTATTGCCTAGGTTTTCTTCTAGGGTTTTTATGGTGTTAGGTCTTATGTTTAAATCTTTACTCAAGTATCTTGAGTTAATTTTTGTAAAGTGTAAAAAAGGGGTCCAGTTTCAGCTTTCTGCACATGGCTAGCCAGTTTTCCCAACTCCATTTATTAAACAGGCAATCCTTTCCTCATTGCTTGTTTTTGTCCAGTTTGTTGAAGATCAGATAGTTGTAGATGTGTGGCATTACTTCTGAGGCCTCTGTTCTGTTCCATTGGTATATATCTCTGTATTGGTACCAGTACAATGCTGCTTTGATTACTGTAGCCTTATACTATAGTTTGAACTCAGGTAGCATAATGCCTCTAGTTTTGTTCTCTCTGCTTAGGTTTGTCTTGCCTATGTGGGCTCTTTTTTGGTTTCATATGAAGTTTAAGGTGTTTTTTTCCAGTTCTGTGAAGAAGGTCAGTGGTAGCTTGATGGGGATAGCTATAAAGTAAATGAATCTATAAATTACTTTGGGCAGTATGGCCATTTTCATGGTATTGAGTCTTCCTAACCATGAACATGAAATGTTTTTACATCTGTTTGTGTCCTTTCTTATTTCCTTGAGCAGTGGTTTGTAGTTCTCCCTGAAGAGGTCCTTCACATCCCTTGTTAGTTGTATTCCTAGGTATTTTATTCTCTTTGTAGCAATTGTGAATGAGAGTTCACTATTGATTTGGCTGTTTGTCTGTGTGTATAGGAATGCTTGTGATTTTTGCACACTGATTTTGTATCCTGAGACTTTGCTGAAGTTGCTTATCAGCTTAAAGAGATTTTGGGCTGAGAAAATGGGGTCTTCTAAATATACAATCATGTTGTCAGCAAACAGAGACAATTTGACTTCCTCTTTTCCTAACTGAATACCATTTATTTCTTTTTCTTGCCTGATTGTTCTGGCTAGAACTTCCAATACTATACTGAATAGGAATGGTGAGAGACAGCAACCTTGTCTAGTGCCAGTTTTGAAAGGGAATGCCTCCAGTTTTTTTCCATTCAGTATGATATTGGCTGAGGGTTTATCATTAATAGCTTTTATTATTTTGAGATACATTCCATCGATACCTAATTTATTGAGAGTTTTTAGCATAAAGGCTGTTAAATATTGTCGAAGGCCTTCTCTGCATCTACTGAGATAATGTGTTTCTCTCTTTGGCTCTGTTTATGTGGTGGATCATGTTTATAGACTTGCATATGTTGAACCAGCCTTGCAACCCTGGGATGATGTCTACTTGATCATGATGGGTAAGCTTTTGGATGTGCTGTTGCATTTGGTTTGCCAGTATTTTGTTGAAGATTTTTTCATAGAAGTTCATCATAGATATTGGCCTGAAATTTTCGTTTTTAGTTGTGTCTCTGCCAGATTTTGGTATCAGGATGATACTGGTCCCATTAAATGAGTTAGGGAGTATTCCCTCTTTTTCTCTTATTTGGAATAGTTTCAGAAGGAATGGTACCAGCCCTCTTTGTGCATTTTGTAGAATTTGGCTGTGAACCCGTCTGGACCTGGACGTTTTTTGGTTGGTAGGCTATTAATTGCTGCCTCAACTTCTGACCTTGTTATTGGTCTATTCAGGAATTCAACTTCTTCCCGGGTTAGTCTTGGGAGAGTGTAAGTGTCCAGGAATTAGGCCATTTTGTCTAGATTTACTGGTTTATGTGCATAGAGTTGTTTGTAGTAATCTCTGATGGTAGTTTGTATTTCTGTGGAATCGGTGGTGATATCCCCTTTATCATTTTTTATTGCATCTATTCTATTCTTCTTTCTTTTCTTTATTAGTCTGGTTCTCTGTCTTTCACAATTTCATCTGAGGTGCAGCAGCAGCAGCAGCAGTGGACTTAGAAATTTGGAATATCAGACTCCACTGCTGACCCACTGAATCTGAATCTGTAATTAAAGGTCATCAGTTTAACTGCATGCATGCATTCAAGTTTGAGAAGCACAACTAAAAAATATTAAAGGGTTTTAAGCACGGGGATAACATAGACAGCTTTGTGCCATATGCAGTGTAAATTTTTCTGAATATTCCCCATCTAATGTTTTCCATATCTACAAACTGTCTGAAGTATTTAAGCCTCAGCTTGAATCTAATTCACCCATGAAACCATTTGCCACCAACCTGAAATAATTACTTCCTTCTCTGATTTCTTGGAACATGAATTAATGTTTTGTCATGTAATTATTTCTTTGACTTTTCATAGGTAATAATCTGTTCAAGCATAAGAATTATTCATACATTTTTCTGTATTTCACTCAAAACCTACCAATGCAATATTTGGAGTAAATAGTGTATTCTAAAAGGATCTGCCAGTTATGTAATTGACCATTGTAATTTAGACTGGGGCTACAGAGTTGTTCATTGTGGCATAGATACTGCATTAGGAGAGCATAGTTTTACATCCTACAGAAGCCAATTACAAGATGGACGTCGTGGAATGCGCCAATAGCCCCAGCTACTCCGGAGGCTGAGGCAGGACAATCACTTAAGCCTAAGAGTTCAGACTAGCAACATAATGAGACCCCTGCATCTTTTATTAAGCCAACTACAGATAGGCTGGGTAATCCTCAAAAAAGTATACCTCTAAGCTATGAGGGTTATTTATTTATTTATTTATTTGGCTGCAAAAGGACTGAGTCTGAAATATTGGATGGCTCAGGGCAAATTGATCAAAAGTTTGGAGGAAAAAAAAACACTCAGCAAGGGTATCATCTTTAAATATTTTCTCAACTCTTGCAAGTCTGATCTTCAGAAATAGCTATCAAAACTTTGTTTCACCATATCAAGAGGCCTGTACAGTTCCAAACCAAGTCTAAAAAGTGTAGACTCAGGCTGGGTCAACCTGCAGCATCTGTGGTATTTGTAACACTCTTGTAACCTCACCCAGAAAAGGTATCCAGCCTCCCAGGGTCAGTTCTACTGACTCAGAGTCTAAATTATCTCTGGAAGCTTTATTTACATAAGCTTGGGTCAATCTGCAGAAAAATGAACTTGAGCCTTTAGTTCTCCAGGACAATCTCCAGCCTGGAAATACCCAAGATTTGGAGTACTTACTGACTCCCTGTCTCCAGACAGTCTATCTAGTAAATGGACTGCCATTCTTCTAGTTTTCCGTATCGTAAAACTTCCTTTTGTGCATGTGTGGCTTTTTGATTTTGTTTTGTTTAAAGATGGGGTCTCACTATATTGTCCTGTCTCCAAACAGGGACCTTAGGATGGGGTAGAACATCCCAAGGTCCCTGTCTGGAGGAACATAAAGCCAAAGAAGGAAAAATTGAAAGACAGCCTGTCTAAGGGTGAAATCAGAATTAAGCTGAAAGACTCTGGTACAAATGATATGAATAGTTACAGAAGAGAGAAACCAGAACCTTCAAAGCAGAGCGAGCACATACAAAAGGAAGGAAAGTAGAAGGAAAACCCAGGAGTGATTCCCAGAGGTATAAGAATGTGACTGCAGCTCTTCATGCTGTGCCAGAGATCTTGTTCTTACAAATATCCCACATATTAAAAAGCAGAATAGGAGTCTATTCCATGTTTCATATATTTTTCTACTTAGGACAGAGCCAAGTGCAGTGGAACATTCCTGTAATACCAGTTACTCAAGAGGCTGAGATAGGAGGATTGCTTGAGCCCAGAAGTTTGAGACCTGCCTGGGCAATATAGTGAGACCCCCATCTTTAAACAGAACAAAATAAAAAAACCCACACATACACACAAAAAAGTTTTACAATACAGAAAATTGAAAGAATGGCTTATTTACTAGACAGTTTCTTTTACACAATAGATATCAGAATATTGCTTTAAAATGTTTGCATCAATTATTTTGGGAAGGTTTAGTTTCATTACTTTTGAAAAGGAAACTGCTTCAATATTCCCTTCCCTGGCCATCTAAGCCCTTCCCCAAGCTAACCTAGAATGAGGATTGGCACTAAAACATAATGAAATCCCATCGTAATTGAGGCCTGGCAGCCACAGTTCAATTTAATGCCTAAATATTATTAGGTTTTCTCAAAAGAAATGCCATTAAGGATGCATTAGGAAAGCAATGGGTTAGCTTTCCAGAAATCACCTATGAAAATGATGCCATGAATTATAGTAATGGAATAAAAGTTACCTGTGAGCACTTATAACAGGGCCTTGGGACTCCATACAAGATGATTTCATTGTTTTCTTACAAACATCTTTCAAGACAACTGTCAATGCATTTTCCATTTTATAGATGAGGAAACTGAGATGCCAATCTGACCCTTTGTTGCTTTTTTTTTTTTTTTGAATAAAAACGGCATATTCTTTATTTTGCCTACTTTAATTCAGAACAAAATGAACAAACATAATAAAAACCACAATACACAACATCCAATCCTGCTGTCAAGACTAGGGAGGGAATGGAGACTTGACACTCTTGTTTCCTGCCTCCAACACAAGGACAAGAGAGAACACCAGACATCAGCAGGGGAGCCAGCTGGGGCAGAGGCACTCGAGGCTGCAGTGGGAGCCGTAAGGACACTATACAAGAGCAGTTTTCCAACTATGAACTTCTAATCAACTTCTTCCATGTGAGACACATCCTCATTGCCCTCAAGGGGAGGGGAGATCTCATCAGGAACTGCAGCACTGGGTTCCTCTGCTGCCACTTCATCTTCATCAATACCTAGACCTAGCTTGAGACAAATACTGTGTGCAGCAGCTCAAGGAGTTTGATGGAAAGAGCTTGGTCTCAGTTACTAAGGATGGTCTGGAGCTCCCTGAGGATGAGGAGGAGAAGAAAATGGAAGAGAGCAAGGCAAAATTTGATAATCTCTGCAAGCTCATGAAAGAAATCTTTGATAAGAAGGTTGAGAAGGTGACAATCTCCAATAGGCTTGTGTCTTCACCCTACTGCATTGTGACCAGCACCTACAGCAGGACAGCCAATATGGAGTGGATCATGAAAGCCCAGGCACTTCGGCACAACTCCACCATGGAGGCCAAAAAGCATCCGGAGATCAACCCCGACCACCTCATTGTGGAGACACTGCGGCAGAAGACTGAGGCAGACAAGAATGACAAGGCAGTCAAGGACTTGGTGGTGCTGCTGTTTGAAACTGATCCTCTGTTTTTAACTACCACACAGATGGCACTGCACCATGCTGTGTGCTCAGCAGCCTATAGACTCCTGTCTTCAGAAGTGATCAGTTGCCTAACATAAAAGACCATCATTATCAGTACAAAAATGTTTGAGACACTGTCATTTTATGAATAATTTTACTAAGATAAAATAAATGTACGAACTTTTCAAATATCAATGACAGCATTTTTTCTTACAAATTCAGCCTTAGTACTCCAAATTTTTCTATTTTTATAATGCACAGAGGCCTAAGTGTTTCCCCAAACGTAACATGTCCATCAATTATCTTTAGATATCTTCCTGTAAAAAGGAAGCTAAAAGATTCCAATAATACTGAATTTAATTAGCATACAATGATTTACAGTACATTTCAGCATTTTAGCCCACACAGTTTCTATGTGAATGTTTCAGACTGGAGTAAGACAAAACCTCAATGAAAAATAAAGATGAATGTTCTGAAATGCATCAATTAATTGACTTAAACATGGTAAATGAAAACTAAAGAGACTCTTCAGAATGAAAATGTTTATGTGTGCTTTAAGAAATCTGCAGAAAAAAAAAGTTCACTAAAATATGTGATTCATGACCATTTTAAGGGTATATGTATGTCTTTATTTCTATTTAATTTATCCTCCAGAAATGTAAAATTCTGGAACTATAAAATTCTCTATTTTTATTTATATTTATTTCTATCTATTTTTATTTACACATCTAGTTGCCAGAATTTTAAAAAAACTACTTTAAAATGACTCATTGTCTAATTCCTTTCAAATCAAACTCCTTTAATTTTATGATCCATCTCTCACAGCCTGTTTTGCTGTTTCCATAAACTCTAAATGCAAGAGAAACATATGCAATTTCAGAATGTTGATAAGTATGTTATCAATAAATGTTAACCATTATTACTATCATTAAATGCTTTTAAGAATAAGCTAACCACAAACAATATAATAATAATGATAGCAAGATGTCCTTTCAGTAGGCGTAAGAAATCATTTTAACAAGCACTTATTGAGGGCTATGTGTCAGATGCTATTCTGAAAAGAAAGGTTACAAAGATAAATGGAGTATGATTACTTATCTTTCATGGAGCTCATAGTTGAATGGGGAAGAAAAACAAGCCCTCGAAAATGCCTTTTGGTGTAACAGAAGCAGGTTATAAGATTCAGTACGGATATAAAGCAAAAAGAAAATGGTCATCTTAAGGATAAAGTGATGTTTAAGCTAAGTCTTGAAAAATAAACAGGTGTTCACAAGATAAGAAGGAGAGTTACAAACTGAAAGAAAAGTGTGTGTAAGGATAAAGAAGGGGCAAAAGAACATGACATATTTGGGGAACGACTGGTAAATCAAGATGACTAAAGAATAACAGTACATCTACAAAGAAGGTATAGGTTTCTAGATGTAAAAAAAAAGTTATAGTTTAGCTTTAAATTTGTATATGAAGGCTTAGAAGTGGGACATCTAGGTATGAAAGCCTAGGACGTGGGTGCATACAGGTTTCTAGCTGAAGGAAAATATTTGATTTGAAGATGTAGATTTCACAATCATCAGCAGGCAGTTGTCAGTTGAAGTTCTGAAAATAGGTTAAGTCACTTGGAGAAAGTATATAGGATAATTGAAAAAGAGGCCTATGTTAGAAACCTTAGAAACTAATATTTAAGGGGCAGGATAGGAGCACAAGAAGAGGAAAGAACAGCCAGAATAGTAGTAAAATAATCAGTAAACTACACTATTTTAGAAGCTGAGACACACAAAAATAGGTACAATAGCACATGCCAATTGTCCCACATGCTCAGAAGGCTGAGGCAGAGGATAACTTGTGCCCAGGAGTTTGAGGCCAGGCTGGCCAACACAGCAAGACCCCATCTCTAAAATAATAATAATAACAATAATAATCATTAATTTTTTTTTTTAGAAAGAAGCTAACATAATGAAGACGCTAAGGAAGAAGAGAGTGGTCATTAGTGCCAAATTACACAGAGATATCATTCAGTGACCATGTAGAGTATGGATTTTCAAAAGAAACTCATTTTAATAGGCAAGAGGGTCAATTATCAATTAATACTAAAATTCCTATGTCCATCAACTCATGATCAGTATAATTTCCGAAACTACACAATATACTTGCCAAATATTACAGAGCTAATGGGTGGTTGAAGAAGCATTTGATTTCACAGCTTTCAAACCCCAAAGCCCATTCACAAACATTAAGTTTGTGTAGTGGATTGGAGACATTTCTATATTCTAACTCAGAATCTGTGGATATGACCTTAATTAAAGAAAAGGTCTTTGCAGATGTGATTAAGAATCTCAAGATGAGATCACTCTGAATTATCCAGGTGAGCCTTAAATCCAATGACCACTGTCCTTAGAGGCAACACACAGACAATAGACACAGGGAGAAAGGGAGAAGGTCATATGAAGGGAAACGTAGAGATTGGAGTAATACAGCAACAAGCTATTCTTTGGCACCATCAGAAGCTATAAAAGGCAAGGAAGAACTCTCCCCTGGAGACTTTGGAGAGAATATAGCCAGCATTACAAATTCTTTCATACTTCAAGCACCCAGAACTGTGAGAATACATTTCTGTTATTTTAAACCACCAAGTTTGTGGTAATTTGTATGGTTGCCCTAAAGAAATATAGATAATAACACTCCCCCTTGCCGACAACCTGCAATCATATTTTAGATAAAGAAATAATTCTAAGAAAAAGGAATTCAATTATTCAGATGAACATTTGTTAAATAAAAACTTCTGATTTAAAGAACTATTACTATGCATATATTTTAGAGAATCAAAGGTAATTTTTTATTTGAACTTAATATCACTGATGTAGCAATATCTCATAATAAACCATGAAAACAATGGCATTCAATTAAAACTTTTCATTACAACTTACAACAAATGCTTTTGAAAGAACAGAATGTTTTCTTCTAATATTTCATTACCTTAGTAAAGCAATCAACTGTGTCTTTTTTAGATCTAATCAAGAGCTTTCCAGAAAAAAATTACTGTATTCCAATTCTGTGAAGAAAGTTTTTGGTAGCTTGATGGGGATAGCATTGAATGTATTAATTCCTTTGGGCAGTATGGCCATTTTTACTATATTGAGTCTTCCTAACCATGAACATGGAATGTTTTTCCATCTTTTTGTGTCCTCTCTTATTTCCTTGAGCAGTGGTTTGTTGTTTCCCTTGAAGAGGTCCTTTACATCCCTTGTTAGTTGTATTCCTAGGTATTTTATTCTCTTTGTAGCAATTGTGAATGGAAGTTCGTCATGATTTGGCACTCTGTCTATTATTGGTGTATAGGAATGCTTGTGATTTTTGCACACTGATTTTGTATCCTGAGACTTTGCTGAAGTTGCTTAACAGCTTAAGGAGATTTTGGGCTGAGACGATGGGGTCTTCTAAATATACAATCATGTTATCTGCAAACAGGGACAATTTGATGTCGTCTCTTCCTATGTGAATACCTTTTATTTCCTTCTCTTGCCTGATGGCCCTAGACAGAACTTCCAATACTATGCTGAATAGGAGTGGTGAGAGAGGGCATCCTTGTCTTGTGCCAGGTTTCAAAGGGAATGATTCCAGCTTTTGCCAATTCAGTATGATATTGGCTGTGGGTTTGTCATAAATAACTCTCATTATTTTGAGATACACTCCATTGATACCTAGTTTATTGAGAGTTTTTAGCATAAAGCGCTGTTGGATTTTGTCAAAGGCATTCTGTGCATCTATTGAGATAATCATGTGGTTTTTGTCTTTGGTTCTGTTTACGTGGTGGATTATGTTTATAGATTTGCAGATGTTGAACCAGCCTTGCATCCCTGGGATGAAGCCAACTTGATCGTGTTGGATAAGCTTTTTGATGTGCTGTTGCATTCTGTTTGCAAGTATTTTATTGAAGATTTTTGCATCAGTGTTCATCATGGCTATTGGCCTGATATTTTCTTTTTTAGTTGTGTCTCTGCCAGATTTTGGTATCAGGACGATGTTGGTCCCATAAAATGAGTTAGGGAGGAGTCCCTCTTTTGTATTGTTTGGAATAGTTTCAGGAGTGGCACCAGCTCCTCTTTGTACATTGGTAGAATTCAGCTGTGAACCCATCCAGTCCTAGACTTTTTTGGGTTGATAGGCTATTAACTGCTGCCTCTACTTCAGACCTTGTTATTGGTGTATTCAGGGATTCAACTTCTTTCTGGTATAGTCTTGGGAGAGTATAAATGTCCAGGAATTTATCCATTTCTTCTATATTTACTGGTTTATCTGCATAGAGGTGTTTGTAGTAATCTCTGATGGTAGTTTGTATTTCTATGGGATCAGTGGCAATATCCCCTTTATCATTTGTTATTGTATCTATTTGAATCTTCTATCTTTTAAACTTCATAAGAGCCAAAAAGAGCCCACATAGCCAAGACAAACCTAAGCAAAAAATACAAAGCTGGAGGCATCACACTACCTGACTTCAAACTATATTACAAGGCTACTATAATCAAAACAGCATGGTACTGGTACCAAAAGAGAGAAGTAGAACAAAGGAACAGAACGGAGGCCTCAGAAGTAACACCACACAACTACAACCATCTGATCTTTGGCAAACCTGACAAAAACAAGCAATGGGGGAAGGATTCCTTATTTAACAAATGGTGTTGGGAAAACTGGTTAGCCATATGCAGAAAGCTAAGACTGGATCCCTTTGTTACACCTTATACAAAAATTAGCTCTAGATAGATTAAAGATTTAAACATGAGGCCTAACATCATAAAAACTCTAGAAGAAAACCTAGGCGATACCATTCAGGACATAGGAATGGGAAAAGACTTTATGACTAAAACACTAAAAGCAATGGCAACAAAAGCCAAAATAGATAAGTGGGATCTAATTAAACTTAAGAGCTTCTGCACAGCAAAGGAAACTATCAATAGAGTGAACTGGCAACCAACAGAATCGGAAAAAAATTCTTGCAATCTACCCATCAGACAAAGGGCTAATATCCAGAATCTACAGAGAAATTTAAACAAATTTACAAGAAAAAAACAACCCCATCAAAAAAACATTTTTCAAAAGAAGACAT